AATACTACGATATTTAGCATGTAATCTCAACTCTATACAATTGCCAAAATGACTCACTAGGGAAAAAGTCATGTGGTTGAAAAGCTGGTGTCTTATCAGATAAGAGAATAAAGCTTTGTTTTTATTGATTTTTTTGTGCTTGATGGGATGCTCTTATCCCAGAAAGTAACTAAAGTCCATGCAACTTTCAGATGTGCTGTAGGACTTTTAAATGTCTGCCTTCTTTTGGTGTGTCAGATTAAGAAGCACAGGGTCATTACAAATATAAGAAAGAGCTCTTTAAAATAGAAAGCTTTTTAGACCGGAATGTGTTACACAGATAGAAAAGAAAGCCTGGCACTTTTATTAGGAATCTGACAGCACCTTCAAAAGGTGATTTGTGGGTCTTGGTACACTGGTGTGATGTCGTTGGCCTCAGATTATAAATCACTGTAGTTACAATCCAGCAAAAGTTAGTCACAGTGAAATCTCACCGAAATCCAGAGCTAGCCAGAGCTAAGTCTCATTCTGCAGCCTTAAGTTACATGTACTGATGATGAACATGTAGCGGACTGTGCCTTTTTGTGGGTAAATTACCCTGAATATATGCAGCACAATCTCGGATAACTGAGAACACTGTAAATATAAGCCCATGTTCCCCTTTAGCGTACACCGAAATGCCTGCAAATGTGACTTCTGAGCTGGTCTGAGCATACGATGCTTAGTCACAGAGTACCTGCAAAAGGTGGCATGTTCACCCAGCTGCTTGTATACAATAAATCAGAAAAACGCATGCATACAACTGAATGCAAGGTTGCACAGGTTATCTCTAAGCACAGAGATTCACAGATTCAGAGTATACAACTCAAATACAACATGAAAGAAAATAAGGCATCACATTAGGAAAATAAGCACAAAAACAGCAGGTTCTGGTCCTGAAGAACTTGCACCTTAAATTTTCCTGTGGAGGATGCCAGAAAGGGAGGGTGGCAGGAAAAAAGTGTTCCTAAATAAGATGCTTCATGCCCTACTTCACATCTACAGTCTAATGCTGAACATGATATTCTGAAGACCTGCTGCTGCTCCTGCTGCAATATTTAGCACGAGCTACATCTTTATATGGGTGAAGCGGGGAAGGCGGCATGATCAAATTTAAACTGGCAATCTGGCTGATTGCTTTGCATTACGAGGAGGGGATGATGCGCAAACTCCAGGAGTTGCAGCATTTGCTGTAAGATGTTCCTTGCTTCATAGGGAAGGGTGGATGCTTTGGAATCGGGGTGCTGGAGGCGACTGTTGTGCATCCCGTGGTTTTCAACGATCACAAAGAAGTCCTAGACCGAGCCTCACCAAAAAATCACTTGAAACCGAGGTCGCCAAACGAAGACTGTCATTCTTGGGTCATGTCATGAAAACTGACTCACTCGAAAAGTCAACCCTGCAGAGTGGTTAGTGGGAAAAGGAGAAGGGGCTGCCCCAGCACCCGTTGGCTGGACACCATAAAGAAAAACACTGGGATGGACATGGCAGAAGCAGAGTGAGACAAAGGGGCCTGGGGAGCCATGAGGGTCAAGGACATTCCCTACTATGAAGTATTCCCACCATTGCAAAGCTTGTTTTCTCATCCCTGGTCACAATGTCTATCCCACAGCTTAGGCAGTAGGTTTCTTCCTGAGGTCGCCCTGTTTGCTGCTGATGGAATGAGTGGCATCGATTTAGGGATGTCTGACAGTGTACGGCAGGCAGGGCATCCTTCTGAAGTGCCACACAAGACCCTGGAAGAAATTGTTTAGGAAGAAGTGTTTGGTTTCAGGAGCTGCTAACAATAGCCTAAACTTGTTGACTGAGCTGACATATCCTGTTCCAGGAAGGTAATCAGTACCCTGCCAGTATGAGATTTTTAGAACTGTAGGCAACCATAATTAGTATACTATTGCACAGTGTTATTTTAATTCATGCGATTGACTTGGGCTTGGAGAGCCAAAAGGTGTGTCTGCACAAGACAGATGCTCTTGGACGGTATCCTGGTCCCCTGCCAGATTGGATAGTGGGGTGGGATCCTAGCAAGGTAAGCTCTCCTATTCCCATTAGCCTGACATGAAATAGCACTGACAGATTGGTACTAATATTAGTGACATCCTTCAAAAACTGTAGGACTTCTAACATCTTGGCTCTTTTTTTTCTTTTTGGGTGGGGAGAGAAAATACAAGTGTTATGTGGGCCTGAAATAAATAAATCCATAAAGAGAAATGGGAACCTGGACAAACGGACAAAGATAAAATTCCTTCCTTCTATAAAGAAAAAAAGAACACTTTTTAAAAAACAAAAACCATACATAACCTCTTCTTTAAAGTTTGATTTGAAAAACCCCGGATGTATTCACTGTTGCCAAAGCACTTTTGATTTTTAAATATTTTTTGCTTTCTCTTGTTCATGAGCAGAAGATATGCATAGAAACAAACTGTTCAAAGATGGCTCAAAGAAGCTTTTAATGCTAGGAGAGTTTGGACCTAGTTCTGCCATTCTTTTCCAATGGTGTTTACGAACAGCTTTGCTCTTCGTGTGACTGGGAGAATACTAAATTTGGCTGTACAATTGTACCCTGGAGGCAGAGGAGGCCGGAACTTTTGGGTTCATCCTTTCCAACTGCCACGTAACTTCTCCTGGTGTGGGTGGTAGAAAATAATATCACCTATTATATTTTTGTGTCCTGACGTAGGACCAGAGCTAGTAGAAAAAGCTAGCAACCGTGTTTGTTCAGTATTCATTGGAAAAACGTCTGATACGTTTTGGTTAATGGCTACAAATAATATCCACTCTGTTATTAATAGTGAATGGGATCTGGGCTCCTTTTAGAATGGAGCGAGACCTATTCAACTAGGCACCTGTCGCTCACATGTAGTGCACTCCCACTTGTACACCTTGCCACGACAACAAACTCTTGCAGAGCAAAGAGTAGGTGTTGCTTAGTAACATCCGTTGCTTAGTTCCCAGATAACTCTGGATTCAGATGAGGTTGGAGCATCGTGGGAAACAATGGGAAGTGCAAGAACAAGGCGGTTTGTTTGTTCATTGGAGGAGCTTGCACGAAGCCGGGGCAAAGGAGTTTGTATCATCAGCTCCCGTCTGCACCATCAGAATGTTCTCCCTCTCTTTCTCTCTCTGTGACATTTTAGTGTTCAAAAATTATAAATTATCCTGGGTGGCATGACAGAAGAGTGGTATAGAAATGTCTTCTTGGTGGTGACATGCAGGATTTTTTTTTTTAAAAAGGGATGAGAAACACAGTGTTCCCTCCTTTCTATATATTATCTACCCAGCAGAATATTGCAAGCAACACTTCATGCTTTCCAGATCTGTCAGAAACGGCAAACCAGGGAATAGTGTCCACACACACAAATGATTTTTTAAAGGGGAATAAAAAAGACTTGCATCATTAACATTTAAGAGGTATGCAATGAAATACTACGTTGACTCAGAAATAAGCCAACGGTGTTTAGTGAGGCTTACTTTGTATGTTTCGGATTGTACCTAGGGTGCATGTCGGAAGTAAAATGGTGGTTACATAGACTAATTGGGGGCTCCTAAGTTTCTCCACAGCAGATCCGCAGTGCTGCAATCCATTCCAAGTGATTGATGGCTATGAAGGGCAATCTATTTCTAAGGAGAGAGGAAGGCGAGGCAGGATACGTGTACCCCAAGCTTGGGGGTGGGATCCTTTGCTTATCTGCCTTAACTGGGGAAATGTTTTATGCCTGTAATTGCTCATCATTCTTACCCTTCTTGATGGATTTCAATAGCTGTTTGGTAAGACAATACTTCTTCTTCTTCCTCATTTAGAACCAGCCTCTTAAGATCGATTGTTTTTGCGTTAATACATTGCAATGGCCATTCTTTTTTAATCCTGTTGTTTTAGCTCATGAGCACTTGGAGACAGCTTTCTGGAAAATGTTATGACATGCCAGCAATGGCCTTAAGGAAAATTCTTGTGCCTTTAAAACCGTGCATTTTTGGCTGACACCATACAATTGAGGAAATGGACAGAATCCACAAAACCTTAGGCCAGAATTAATTTGCTATTTTCCCTGTTAGCACAAATTCTTAGTTCAGCTGCAATAGACTAACATAGCTACCTCTCAGGAAAGCATAAGCTACAAACTCTTATCAGTACAAAACCTTTCATCCCTGCAACTGCTTGTTACATTCTTTAAAAAATTTTACTAGATATTTCAAAAGCAGGTGCTCCTCTGAAGAAAATAAGAACTCATGTTTATTTATAGCTTTTATATACTGTTCTTCTAGCAAAAAAGCTCTCCGTGTGACCGAGACTCAGTGACTCAATGTGACTCCTATGTCAGAGAATGCTTCTAGATCCAAAAAGCCATTTTTGTCTAGCTTCTTGTTGTTAAAAAAATATAGTCCCTGACAATTTTAAAGAAAATGGAGCCTCTTGGCTCCCTCAAAATAGATAGCTCTATGAATAAATAACCAAGAAGCTTATTTATTTTTAAACATTTATTATACTTATATCCTGCCTTTATTCAAGCAACTCAACCTGCTCCTCCTCTCAAGGTTACCCTCACAACAACCCTGCTAGGTAGGTCAGGCTGAGAGTCTCGCTCCATAGCGGGGCAGAAACAAGAAGCTGGAACTTCCAGATCCCCAGTCCGACGCTCTAACCACTCTACCACATTGCCTCAACTTGGCCTACAGCTCCCATCATCCCCGGCCAGCATTCTTTATTCCACCCTCTCTCCTGAAAGTCTCCTAACTGCACAGGGAAGACGAAGGACAACGAGGCTGCATTCCGGCCTTCCCTCACGCGTGGGGGCGGGGGCTCCAATGTTTTGGACTACTGCTCCCATCATGCCTGGCCTCGGCCCCTGCTGACTGAGGCTCACGGGAGCTGTAGTCCAAAGGCTCTGGAAGGCGGCGGTCGCCGCTAACGAATCCCGGCAAACTCTCGCGGATCCGGTTTCTACGGAAGCCGCTTTGCGGCAAACCGCGCCGCGCAGGGGAAAATGGCCGCGCCCGTAGAAGTGGGCTATGTCGCTTGCTGCGCCAACCGCGCCGGCCCCGGCGTGGTCTCCTGGGGACGAGCGGGGCTGGTGGCGTTCGGGTCGTGCCACTCCGTCGTCCTCTACGACCCGCAGGTGAGGCGGGAGGGGAGGCCGAGCCGTTTCGGCTGCCCCGGCGAGGCTGCGGCTCCTTGGCTGGGCGCAGTTCAGGTCGGGGAGCGACGGCGGGGAAGGCGTCGCCTGCAGCGCCTCTGGTCTCATGCTGCTCCAGGAGGTCTAGCAGCTTGCGGTGTGCTTGCGTGGCTAAACTCAGGGCTGAGGCTGGGCAAACTCTGGTTTAAATGCCCGCTTAGCTGAGCAACGGGCTGGGTGGCTCTGGAACAGCTTTGAAGCCAAGCTGCATCACAAGTTCATGAGGATTAAGTTGAAAGTGGGGCCATGCATGGCTGCTTGAGCGTATGGGAAGGCGGGTAGGAGAAAAATGGGATGTGACTGATCACGGGTCATTGAAACATGGGAACGTGAGAAAGAAAGGTAACCCGAGGACTTGCTTAACTGCAGACTATGTTTTGCAATGCGGTCGGTTTGCTTGTTGAATGAGCTGTTTGGTGCATGATTCAAGAAAAAGTGGGATATTAAAAATAATAAATACATATGGACATGCCTAAATCTCTATGTAGTCCCTCTATTACATGTTGGCTTTGTGGGTGTCAGACGTTTGCTTGCACACAATGACTAAAATAAATGTTTTCTAATGTATACACCATTAAATTGAAGTAATTATTTCAACAGTATATTTTACAACTTCTCTGTAGGAAGAATGTGTTATCATTTCCTTAACAGGGAAAGGTTTCACTTAGATGGTTTAGAACTGAAAAATCTAATTCTGCATTCTTTTTCCCTCCAGAAAAGAAAAGTAGTTGGAACACTGAATGGTCACACTGACAGAGTTAATTGCGTCCGATGGATTCACAGAAATGATGAGTGTAAGTATAGCTTACATGTGTTTGCTACTAGACTAGTAGAAATAAGTATTTAAATGTTAATGTTTTTACATAACATAAATATAAATTTGGAATTGATCAGAGTACTAAGAAGATGTTTTGGTTAGGAATGTTGTCATACGTGATAAACATTTGAGGTATAGCTGTTGGAGTGGCCTCTGCAGAACTGTATAGCGAATAGTTACGGTATAGTTACAGTTAGGCTTATGCAGGCTCAGTGTAACCTAGCTCACAACTTGCCTGTGAGAGTAAAATGCATGGAGAAGTGAAGGGAATGTATGGTGTCTGGACTCTTTCAAGAAGTATAGGATAAAAGCAAAAATAATTTTAGCTTTAAAATTTTCTAGTCATGTTTCCCAAACAGCCAGATGCCTTGATTGCTTTACATTAAATGGTGGTAGGGAAAATATTTTGCTTAGTAAAAAAGTTTCTATAGCACTAATTAGCAACTTGTTTTTAGTATTGATCACATTTGGAGTTATATACAGAAAGGCTAAGACTGTTTTAATGGTTTGTGGCAGGATGTTCATTGAAAACGCTTCCTCTCCAGGAGTTATTTCAGAGGCGAGGTCAAATCATTGCTTGCTTGTTGTTGTATGCTGACATCTCTGATTTAGGCAACCCTATGGAAGAATGCCTATCAAAATGCCCTGTCCTTGCCAGCCTGCTCAGCTCTTGTAAACACAAGGCTGCAGCTTCCTTTATGGAATCGTTCCATCTCCTAGTTCTTCCTTTTATTTGTCTGCCTGCAACTTTCCATAGCATGATTGTCTTCTCCAGTGAGTCTTGCCTTCTCATTATGTGCTTGAAGTACATCAGCTTCAATTGTGTCATGTTTGCTTGCAGGGAAAGCTCTGGCATTATAGATCTAGGACCCACTTGTTTGTATTTGCAAAAATCTCCCACACCATATTCTGAATGCTGTAATTTTCCTCCTGCCAAATCATTGTTTAATGCTATGTAAGCAAGCCATTAATGACTGGGCCTACACACTCCATCTCCCCTTGGTATACCACACTTTTATTTCTCCCTTTTTGGCTTGAGGCAAACTTTTGCTTGCCATGTTGTTAGCTGCCAAGCTATAGTTTGTGCAAGGCCTGAAAACCAGGCTCAGAAATCAGAGTTTGGTGATAATTTGCAATCCTGCTTTGAAGCACAAGTACAAACCATAGTTAACTGCTTTTAACACAGCAATAGGTTGCCTCCAATCAGAAAGGGAGGGAGTTAATTGTAGCATGCTAGAGGAAACGGGTAAGTCGTGGGGAGTATAGAAAACCAAGAGCCATTCAGAGCTTGTTCATATAGCATCAGCCATGGTTTGGCCAGGGCTGGCCTTAGACAATTTGCTGCTGGGGGCAGGAAGGGGGAGATGGTGCTTCTTCCCCATCTGATACACGGAAGGCAGCCAGTGGTTGAAACTTATTTCAACCTTGCAGTGGGTTGTGTCTCCTATCCTTCCCGAGGCAGGGAGTTTGTTTGGCTAGCCCAGGACAGGTTATGTGAGGGGAATGAACCAACAGGCAGCTTCCATGTGCTCCCTGAGATGGTAAGGCTGGAGCTAGATTTTGTGTTATGTCTGAACTAGCAAGAGAATCTTTCTTAGAGTCCTCCCTGTCTTGTGCAGCTCAGCTGTAATCTCCGAGAGATGGACAATGGGCTGTTAGGAAGTTGCTGCGGCGGGTTGAGATTGTTCTTTATAGGAGTCAGGTGCTATAAAGCTCAGGTGGGAAGTCCCAGGTGTTCCTGGGCGGCTAGTACTTAGCTTTTTAGGGACAGCTTTGACTCACTTAAATGTTTCATAGTTTTATTGTCTCAGTTAATACCTTTATGGGACTGTACTTAATTTTGAAACGATAATTAATTATGACAACAGGAAATATGAAAGGGATAGCTATTGTACTCTGCCACAGTAATTACATAAGTCTACATGCTAAGAGGACAGTCATACTGAGGGCTTGAACCGGCCCTGTGGGATGTTTTAAGCCTCACCTCCCAGTTTAAACAGCAGGCCCTGTGACTTATCACATGCTGCTTTTGTGACTCCCTTCAGTTTCAGAAATGCCTTGTCTTAACATTAGGGAGAATATGTGAGAAGTGCAAGTCTTCATTCTTCTTAGAGATGAGAAATAGTTCCATGCTTCTTGAATTCAGTCCATGTTTTCTTTCTTTTTGAACTATATAAAGTGACAGAGGAATCTGCCTGGTATACTATTGCTGTAGGACTGCCCTCTTGTGGATATTTACATTTGAAATACATCGCTGAAGGACCCTCATTCTGATAAGGTTTTTCAAGACGTGCACCCTTAAATAAAAGAAAATTCTTAGAAATGAAAGCTGGGATTCCAATATGCTGATTCCTCTGCCATACAAATTTAGAGTGCTGTCTGATATGTATTTAGAGCAAAAAGCATCCCAGAATTTCCAGCATTCTTCAGCCAGGATTGTTTTCCTCTTTAAATGTTCAGACGATTGCCTTTTTAGTTGCTCAAGGCAAACAGGCAACTTGAAATTTAAATGAATAAAATGTGGTGTGATGGTAAGAGTTATTTGTTTAAAAGTATTCATGATTTCATTACATATCATTATGCTGCATAGACTTAACTGGCCAAGCAAAGTGAAACAAATTAAGACTATTATGGTTGACCTTGACAAGAGTGGGGCAGGTGCTTACGTGATTTATTTGCATATTTTGATTTTGGAAAGAAAGGCCATTAAAACAAAAGTGGTCCTTGGAAAACCTTTTGAAGCTGGATTGCTCGGGCTTTTTATTTTGCCCTTTGTTACAGGTTATGAAATGGAGTTGATTTCTGGAGCGTCTGACAAACAACTTATTTTTTGGAAAACGCAAAATGCAAAGGTATGCAGAGATGTTGCATTTTGTAAACGAAGCTAAAACTTCTGTATGCATTATTTGTTTTTACATAAAGAAGAGAGCAAGTCAAAACCTGAACAACTTCTAAACTTGTCAGCCTAACCTTTAGAATGCTGCCAGAGATCTTCCTCCAGGAAAGTATTGTACAAAACAGTCCTAGAATGCAAAATAATAATTTTATCTGGATTCAAGGTTTAAGAGTGCCGCAATGCAAATGCCATAGATCTCTGCCAGAGATGTTCATTTGTATATGTGCAATTAGCCTTAACGGAGGAGGGCAAGAAAAATGTACATTAAAGCTGCACTCCTAAACATAATTCCTAAAGAGCAAACTTCACTGAACGTAGCGGGATTTACTTTCAAATAACCACACATGGGTTTGTGCTACACGCAACACTGTATTTTGTGACTTGTGTGAAATGTGAAGGCCAAGCAGATTTGCTTATCGTACACAACACCTTCTGCATTTCTGTCTGGGAAGGAGCAAGGCACTTCAGTACAGAGCACTGAAAATCATATTGAGTTCCCTCTCTGGTTTAAGTTCTGTCAAGTGTTGTCTGTGCACAGAGGATTCCCAGCATCCACTCGAAGCTGAGAGGAGCACAAAGGCAGGGGTTGCCTCTGTCCTTCTCCCGTCCTGCCAAAAGTATAGATGCTGGTTTTGGCTGTCTGTGTCTTGCGAGAAGGAAGGGCCAAGGCACTGCCAGGTTTCTCTTATCCTGGTGGACCCCCACTGCTCCCCGTCTCCAAAGTCGTACTTGCAACCTTGGAGCTGCAGTTGGCCTGGAAGAAACCAAGCTGATTGCCAAGGGTAGAGGGAGGGTATTCTGTCGCTGGAGTCCAAGCTCTGCCTGTGAAATGCATTTGTGAGGGTGGAGCTGAGTTCTTGACTTATCCTATAGCTGTCTAGGCAGAATCTAGCACCCTTCATATTCCAGTGTTTTCCTATGTTGGATAATTCCATGTGGCAATTTGGCTTAAACTTCAGGGTTGTTGTTGCCCTTCTTGTAATGCTACAACTTTCTGTTTAGCTTGTGCATTCCATTCACTTCCATGGCCACACTGAAGCAGTTTGCGCTGTGGATGCTGTTTACACAAGAAACGAATCTGCAGCAGAGTCAAATCTCCTGGTTGTTTCTGCAGCTTCTGACTCTACTGTCAGAATCTGGTCCAAGCAAGGAACCGATGGTAGGTTTTCTTCTTTTGTTGCGTAAATACGGTGACAAGAAGCACAAGAGAAGTTTGTGGAGAAGTGTCTAAGGGTCTTCAAATTCCCATTGCACAGTTTAGGGACACAACTCTCTGTTAAAGGTGAGCAGTCGTATTAACTGTAAGGGCTGCATTCTTTCATGGCTGTGAGCTAGGTGGGCAGAGATAAGTCTGACACTAGGTAGATTTCTCTAGATTTCTGTCACCTTCTTGTCTCTCTCTCTCTCTCTCTCTCTCTCTCTCTCTCTCTCTCT